GCTGCTGCCGCTGCTGCTGCTGCTGCTGCTGCTGCTGCTGCTGCTGCTGCTGCTGCTGCTGCTGCTGCTGCTGCTCCCGCTTCCGGCCGCCACTCCGTTCCCGCTCCGCGCGCTCATCCCCTCCCTCACCTCGGCGAATTTCACACAAGAGTGCGGATAAATCTCGCAACTTGCACGCCAGTCCCCGTCCCGCCCCGCCCCTCCACGCCACGCCTCGCGCGTGCCTGCACACGGGGTCACGAGGGGGCAAAAAGAGGAGCCCTCCGGGCCGGGGGTGGCGCGGGGGCCTGGGTCTGGCCCCCACACCACCCGGCCGTGCTCAGAGGAGAGGCGCCCGGCCCGGCACCGACCCGGCGGGGGCCCCCGCTGTTACACCTGCCTCACGGCCCGGGCCCCCGGGGGGGAGGGAAGGGCGGCTGGGGTCGACTGTATCCAGTGCACGAGTGTCACGCGAGCAGGGTTCATTTACGCCAGAGAGTTCCGCCCCGAGCGCGTAACGTACACTCACACGGGGCTGTGGCCGCGGGCGGGGGCGCAGGGCGCAGGTGAGCGAGTGTTTGTGCGCACTTTGTGGCACGCGGAAGAGAGCTCTCTCTCTCTCTCTCTCTCTCTCTCTCTCTCTCTCTCTCTCTCATATCTCACTCCCCCCCTCCTCTTGTCCCTCCTACCCCCTTTTCCTCTTCCTGTAAATGTCATGCAAGAATAAACACATCCAGACGTCCAACAATACTTTTTACCCAAAGTCACTCCGAGGTAGAGACGCCTGCCGGCTCGATGATAGGCCATCCGCTTAGCTCAGATGTACGATGGCGACAGAAATTGCCTACCCATCAGGCGTCAACTGGTCTAAGAACAACATACATATCGATTCTTCCTCTCTGGAAGTATACCATACATTCGGGGCTCACAAAACAGATATCCTCTCTCTCTCTTCTCCCCGTCCTCCGGACAGAGGGTCGCCATGGCCATGACGCGCTGCTCGTCTCGAGCTGGTGTGGCGCCATTTTCAATTTAGTCTCCCGACTTTTTGGCCCCGAGTTTAAAAGTTTAATGAGTAATTATTCTGCGCCGGCGGGGCGCGCGTCGCACCTCACGGCTGGCAGCTAGTTGTTTGGGAAGGGAAGGGAGCGAACGGGATGCGCGGGGGGCCTTTTTTCCGCCGCGGGGACTTTCTTGAGCAAGGTAGAGGCCGAGGGAGGGTGACGTGGGCGAATTGGAACACTTGCACGGCCTGCGCTTGCCAGCTGTCCAAGACTGGAATTTTCATCCAGAAAAAAAAAAGTGGAAAGAAACTTGTTCATCAAAACACTTTTGACGACACTCTGGCCAACACCGACCAATACACACAACTCATTTGACACCCGAAACTAAATTTGACTATAATCCTATACTCTATTTTCACTCGGGTACAGTACGTTTATTTTTTTATTTTTCTCGCCACAGTGACAATCTGGAGTACGGGCTGCAGTTTTCCCGCAAGTTCGTGGACGCCCCGGAGCGCGGCCGGCACAACAGCGTGGAGTCCAAGGAGCCCCTGAAGGACCCCAAGGCCCGCAAGACGTACGCGGTCCGCGCCAGGATGAACCTGCACAACAACGAGGCCGGCAGACAGGTACGCAATGTTCGAAATTTAGTAATAGAAACTATACTGTAAAAAAACTCTTTTTGGTAGAAACGCAAAATTTTTACTACACAACAAAAAGAACTACATTTTGTTTTGTCAAAATGGCACATACAAAATTTTCCTTTTGTTCAATGAAGAATATTTATACATGAACTAGCTATGTGTGTCCACAATTTACTTATTTTTTACTTTAAAAACATTTTCCTTCCCCCCCCCCGCGCAGGTGGTGAGCTCGCTGCTGCGGATGCACTGCCGCTGCCACGGGGTGTCCGGCTCGTGCGAGCTCAAGACGTGCTGGCGGACGCTGCCCGCCTTCAGCGAGGTGGGCGACCTCCTCAAGAGGAAGTACCGCCAGGCCGTGCAGATCACCAGTCCCCGCGGCCGCCGGCGCATGCGGCGGAAGAGCAAGAGCCCGCGCTCGGGCGGCAACCAGAGCAACAGGTACATGGGCAACGAAACTGCAAAACTAAACAGCGTGATAAGACGACACAGTCTTTTAAAAAATTTACAGCATCTACAACAGTTTTAAAACTGTTCTTTTCGGAATAACGGTTTGAAACTAAAAAGATTTCTGCTCTATCCTACACGGTTTACGTTATAAAATCACCGGAAATCACAGTTCAAAATTGTTTTAAAAAAAAGGTTAAAGTGAAGTATTTCTCAATATAGAAAACTCTGTCATTTCTCATTAAACCTTTATATTTTTGTTAATTATTTCTGGTAATGCTGTGGACAGTTTTTACCGTGCATTATTTGCTAAGTCCACGGCCGCGTAGTACGACGGCTAATAATTAGCTGGGATATGGCTGATGTATCCTCCTTGGGGCCATATTCGAGCTACAATCCAATCCCTGTCCGTACTGACGTAGGATTGTGTGCTTTGTTTCTCAGGGGCGGGCGCAACAAGTGGAAGCGGTCGCTGTCCAAGGGCGACCTGGTGCACATCCACAAGAGCCCCGACTACTGCGTGACCGACCCGACCAGGGGCATCGCGGGCACGAGCGGGCGCGCCTGCAACAAGACGGGCTCGGGCGCGCAGAGCTGCGACCTGCTGTGCTGCGGCCGCGGCTACAACACCCAGGTATGAGCGGCTTCAGAATTGTGACAAAAATTAAGTTTCAAGGCGTATGACGCCGTCACGCTGTTTGCAGATGATTCTACTTTCGGGGCAAATGTAAGTGGTCTACTTTGTTCTTATTAATTTCTCGTCACCCACAGGTTGTGAAACACGTGGAGCGATGCCACTGCAAGTTCGTCTGGTGCTGCTACGTGACGTGCAAGACGTGCGAGACGGTGATGGACAGGCACACCTGCAAGTGATTCGGAACAGAGCACCTTTGCCAAACCGAAGAGAGGAGCAACAGATTTTGTTGCGTGCGAAAATTTGATGGATATTTGAAGAAATTCCCCATGAAATTGGCGTGCCTCGCTGAACGTCCGCGACAGACGGTGCAGGTCCGGCCGGTGTACCAAATATACAAAGAATCTGTTCGGAAAGTGAGTGAGGGAAACAGATTTCACGAGTTGAAATCAAAAGTCATTCCACAGTGCGGCGTGTGACCGCATATGTGTCTATTGTAAATAGGTTTCATGAAATTTAAATCATTTGTTACGTGATAACGGTGTACTGTGACGTGACGATTCTGTTGCTTTTGTTTTGTTACGCTTCAAGTAAGAGACGTACTTAATTTCCTGTCGGAAAACAGAGAGCCAATCGGCCGACTACCGCCACTGGTAGATACATCGTCCATAATGCGGTCAGTTTCTATTCTTGTCACTTATTTCTTCGACTGTTACTATTTTAGCGAAACGCTACCCTAAAAAACTTCTCTTGTGTATTTTTTGTACTTTGCCTGTGAAATGTCTGTTTTTTTAAGTCATTTGTCCTCCGCCGACGATGTATTTGGACACATTTCCTTACAATCTCAAACTGCAGCTTATTATAAAATACATTTTAACAGCAATATGACTTTTTAAAAAGTGTAACAATTATACGGTGATGTATGTGCATTTTTGTGGTGCCCATATGATTTTTGTCTTGGTTTACCCGACGGAAGGATTTGAGACTTCACCGCCTATGTCAAAATGGTCTCCCATTTTAACACTTTCCTGACCCATCTTGATGAAATTTTGACCGAGACGTGTCTTAACCAGTTATATTGAGTCAAGTTGACATCATGGTGGGTAAGAAATGCGTCAAAATGTGGGACCATCACTGTGAAACCAAAGTTAGGACTTAGTGCCTTTTAAAGGTTCTAAATTTTATTGCCTTTATAAAGGCATGAATTTATGCTTAAATTTAAGGTTTCCAAAGGCACTAAAATTTAGCAGCTTTGGGGCATTTTAGTGCCTTCTCTGGTGTGACATGGACAGTTCCGACTCAAATTCTTCGATGAGACGTCGAGTCGTTTTTTGTATACTTGTTACTCAAACATTAGTTTGCCACTTTGGTGTATTTGTAGAGATGTGTAACTGAGCGATAACGTAACCAACTATAGAGTCGTACTTTTTGAGTCAAAAACCAAATGCTTACATTGGGAAGCCCGCCGTTTGTATAGTTTAGAATTAGTGTTCCATGTCAATTTCAAAAAACTCATTGTAGTTTAGTCGTAAAACAGCGTTCAAAAATGTTGTCTGAAAATTTACGCATTTTATATACGTGTGCGGTGCAGACTGGCCGCTCCTATTCATATCTGCTGTCTGCTGATGCCGTGCCAGCTATGTTCCTGTAAAGTTGACGACACGGCCGTGAATAATGGCAAGTAACAATTAATTTATTACATCGATCGTCAGAATTGCGCTTGCTGTCTTTCTTCCGCTGCGATGGAGAGTGCCTCCATATTGTAAATAGTACTGGCTCGCCGCCCCTGTAGAAAGGCTCTAATGTATTATGTAGATTCATACAATGTACAAAATGAAAGTAATTTATATCAAACTCTTTATACTGTCCTAGTGAGTAGCCAAAAAATAAATCATGTCCAAAGCACACATCGCATGTATACTTGATCCGTTCGGAACGGTTGGCAATGACCTCATGTGGGGGAATCCAAAAATAACCGCGATTTACAGCACGCCACAGTGAGGAATCTTGGACAAAGACGGCGATTAGACTCTCGCACACTCCTTTCAGACAGCCCTGTTCCGAAAGTCGACAGGATTTCAACCTCTGACCCAGCGGCTGACGTGTATTCGGTTTCTCACTGGGATACGACGAATCGCGTACAAATTGGATTTCTCATTCAGTCAGTTCTCCTTTTTTGCCGTTGCGGAGAAGGGCGAAGGGCGCAGACCCTTTATCAACGGGAAAAGGCATGCCGTGACCGGAAGTAGAAGCTGCCAGGCGGCGACGGCGGAACCGGAAATTACGACAGAGCCACACGAAACCAGCGAATCACAACGGCAATTGCATGCAGTCTGTCCTAGAGGAATAAGGACACCGATGCGGAAGGGGGCTGGTGGTGCGGTTGGGGGAAGAGGTAGGGGGAAGCGGATGGAGAACCCCGCAAGCCGTCATGGAACTACCCTCGCGTTGACGTGAACCAGAAAGCGCAAATAAGAAATTACAATGTATCGGTCTATTCAAATCATTTGCACCCCTAGCTACAGTTTATAAAGTCAAAACTATCCTATACTTTTCTAGAGCTTACATAATTGGATAGCGCTCTGGGTAGAGCGCTTTGTTACAGTCTGGTCCGCAGTTCCGAGCGGGACTCCTGCTCCTCGCTGGCGGACTCGACTCGGTCAAAGGACGTGTGTGATCCTTCACTGTCATTCACGCGGGCTGTTGCTGTCGGG